TCCGAGAAACAAATTGTAGGAGGAGATTGCACACTTAACTGACTGACGGATTGTGTAGCGTTTACGGCGACCAAAATCTAAATTCTAAAGTTCAAGGGCGTGTCGCTCCAAAACGCGGTTAACGAGGTGTTTGGGACTATTTTACTGATCGAAATGACAACCCAAAGTTGACTGTTTGCACGAATCTTTATTCTTGAAAAGCAATCGACCACGAACCACAATCAATGACGAAAATAACGATTATTCTGACAGTCAATCAATCTATCGAACGATCGATCGTAAACTGAAACAACAATACAACGAAGTTCTATCAATCTAACGAAAAGCCGCGGAATACATGATCAAAGAATCGCATGTTAAATACTGGGCTCTAAAGTCTATAACGAGATTAACAATACAAGTGAAACAGAACAAAAGTTTGGAAACAAATTAAAAGAGTTTGATGACTGATAAACAGCCCATTGTTCTATCTAAATGATGGGCGTTCACTGACTCGCAAATTGGCACGAATTTGGCCTTTGAATCTTAAATCTATACAGATCATTGCAATATTTGTTTGTATATTGTCGCCCAACACTGAAAAGACTGGAGAGGGAAAAACAAAGTTACAAAGGTACTCACATATCGGTCCCGCTTGTGCCAGAGGTTGAGAAAAACGAAAGGGCGAAAGTTTACCAAGGCTATTCAAAACTTACGAAGAACTGATTAAAGGGACGCTAAAATTGCCTTTTATATGCGCGTGGTGACGCTGAAAGGTCCGATTACAAAACCAATAGAAATACAGAAAAACAGATAAGCATTGTAACTATGTGGCTATCTAAGATCATTCTGAAATTTGTGAACTAATCAATAATCAATCAAGTGAGCCTTCTGGCTAATGTCCTTAACATGGCTCCCCTGAAATATTCATATTTCACCTATCGTAATTATTAATCTATGAAAGCTCAAGCGTTGACTAAATAAATTTTCCTCATAAAGTTCAGTTCATTTCCTGTCAAGGCTCCTCGGCTGGGAATGACTCCGTTTCTCGTCCCTTGGCGCTTGCATCAACAACACTAACTTCTGGATTGGTCTCTCGAGATACCGCACTGAGCCAATCCTCTCTCCTCGTTTATCCAAACAGCTATCCGCAAGAGGTATTTGGACTTTACAGACTTGGCCATCAGGGCTAGGGTAAACAGTTGAAACACAAGCAAGTTGCCATGCGCTCCGAGGGAGATTCTCGTCTTTGATCATAACGACGTCATCAACTTGTAAATTTCTCCGATTGCGTGGAGACTGAGAAGAAATTCCTTTCTCCAGTGAGTCCAGAACTCGTTTGCCAGGCGTTGGACTCGCCTCCAGCACTTCCTGCAATAAACATCTCATGGCTGGAACGCGCCTGGCGGAGCAAAAACAACCTTTGACTTCATCGTCAGGAGATGGTTAGGGGTTAAAGGACTTGGCGAATCTGGATCAGCAAGTTGGTTCACTGTCAAGGGGCGACTATTGACTATTGCTTCGGCTTCACACATCAAGGTTCTAAGAGACTCGTCGTCTAGCTGTTTCCCGTTATCCTGGAATAGTGACGAGAGAACGTTACACACGGATCTAATTTGGCGCTCCCAAGCTCCTCCCATGTGGCTCGCTGCCGGGACGTTCATCTTGAAGGAAAACCAATCGCACTGTTCTTCTAGTAGAGTCGTTTTTAACTTCTCTTGGTCCATCTCAGCTAGCGCTTGGGTAAGTTCTTTACGAGCTCCAACGAAGTTTGTACCCTGGTCACTCCTTAGCTGGCAGATAGGACCACGGCGACTAATGAATCTCCTCAAGGCATTGAGGAAGGAGTCCGTCTCGAGCGAGTTAGCGATCTCAAGGTGTATAGCTCTCGACGCCAAGCAGGTAAAGAGGACACCATAGCGTTTCAACTCTGTGTGACCATTTTTAACAGCGAAGGGCCCAAAGTAATGCACGGCGCAATAAGTGAAAGGTGGTGTGGATTCAAGGCGGTCCTCAGGTAGATCTGACATTCTTTGCTCTTGAACTGAACCGCGGAGTTTCTGGCACTTGACGCAAGACGAAATCAAGTTGGTGACTATCGATGAACCTCTGAGTATCCAAAAACCATTCGAGCGTATTTCATTTAAGGTCATTCCCTTGCCTTGGTGATGTATGCATTGGTGATAATGTTTAGCGACCAGGTGGGTAACATGACTGTCTCGCGGAAGTATGATGGGGAACTTGATGTCATCAACTAGGGTTGCCCGCCTAAGACGTCCACCAACTCGCAAAATTCTGTTAACATCTACAAATGGATCAAGCTTGTAAAGCGAACTACCTGTTTTCATGCTCGTTTTTCTTTGCCGTGTGAAAACTCTACTTTCTTTGTCAGTGTTTTCTTGCTTCATGTTCCTCAAAGTTGCTATTTCTTCTTTAAAGGCCTTTAACTGTACTGCACGAATTATTGCGCGCTCTGCGCTTTCCAAGTCTTCGACCTTAACTTCTTGAAGTTCTTCGTTGTTACCATGTTTCTTGTGTACGTGCTCTTTCAGGAATCCGACGTAGCGTCGACAAAGGGCAACTGCGCGTTTCGCTCTATACCAGTCAGAAAATATTCCATTCTCTCTGCAAGGGTTAACTTCTCTGTTAACTTCTCTGTGGCTGCCTGGGCGGTTGCCATGGCGACAGACTTTACTTCTGGATCACTATCGTGAAGGTTGTGATCTTCGTTGCTGGTAGGCCACTGTGTTTCTTTCTCCCAAATAAATGGTGGTCCAGTGATCCATCGGGAATCTAGTATCTCTTGTGCTTTCATGCCTCGCGATGCTTCGTCTGCTGGATTCTGTTTTGATTCAATGTACCTCCACTGATCGACAGAGGTGTTGTCTTGAATGTCTTGGACTCTGTTGGAAACAAACACGTGAAATCGCCTACTCTCATTCCTTATGTATCCAAGCACCACCTTGCTGTCCGTCCAGAAGTACTCCTGATCGATATGATACTCTAATTCTCGACGTAGCTGTTCGCTGATTCTCACTGAGCATACAGCGGTGGTAAGCTCAAGTCTAGGTATGGTTACAGGCTTCAACGGTGCTACCCTGGACTTTCCCATGACGAAGGCACAATGGATTCTCTGATTTTCGTCTACAAGTCGCAAGTAACTACACTGGCCATAGCCTTTGACGCTCGCGTCCGAGAAATGATGAAGTTGCACATTTACTACGCGACCGAAGTTTTCAGGTTTGTAGCATCTGGGAATAGAAAAGCGCTGCACCTGCAGTAAATCTGCTCTCCAATTTTCCCACTTTACCTTGATGTCGTCTGGTATTGGGTCATCCCAGCCAACTTCATGGCGACACAACTCGTGGAGAATCGACTTCCCATCCAACAACAGTGGAGCAACGAATCCGAGTGGGTCGAAAACTGAGCTGACAGTGGAGAGAATCCCTCGTCTTGTGCAAGGCCTGTCCTGTAGCATGATGGTGAATTGAAAGCAGTCTGATTCGATGCACCAGTGAATAATGATAATAATATAGATCAATTTCTATAGCACATTTCCATGTAAATGCTCTAATGCGCTTTACAACACTGTGCGGGGGACTTTTCCAGACTGCCGGCGGCAGTTTACAATTAATAAAGGAGAAATTTTTACAGATGCCCCCTCCCCCCCTTCCCAGTAAACAGGCCAGACCACATCACAGTAATCTCGTGATGTGGGTTCTTTAACGTCCCTTGCCGAAATTAACTAATTGATAGGTGCAGGAGACGGGACCTCCGGCTTTACGTCCTATCCGAGAAGACGAAGCAATGTGAATTAAGCGTCTTGCTTAAGGACACAACGTCAAGCCCCAGCCAGGACTTGAACCCGGGCCATCTGACCTAGAGTCCAGCGCACTGACCACTGGACTACTCACGCCTCACAGTGAACACCGAGAGCACGCTCTAAGGGAAGCGAATCGAGGTCTAAATCTAACTCCTTCACGCCGTCTGCTCTGTCTGACTCTGGGATTTTTCTGATGACTTCTTTGTTGTTAGATACAAACTTGTGCAGACGGAAACCTCCTCTTTTGCACATGTGCTTCGCACTTTTTACCAACTGTACTGCATCATCAACCGATGAAACGGACTTGAGGCCGTCGTCGACATAGAAGTCATTACGAACGAAATCTGCGGCCGTAGCTCCAAACTCTTCTTCAAAATCGTTAGCCGTAGACTACAGTGCAAAGTTCGCGCAGCCTGGAGACGAAGTGGCTCCGAACAAGTGCACAGTCATCCTGTATTCTTTAGGTTCCTTTGAGAGGTCGCCATCTTCCCACCAGAAGAAACGTAGTAAATCCCTGTGTTCTTCGTTCACTTTCACCTGGTGGAACATGGCTTCTATGTTGCACATGTGCTCCTGTCGAAACCTGCACAGAACCCCAGTCAAATTATTCGTCAAGTCAGGGCCTTGAAGCAGGTGCTTGTTTAGTGACTCGCCTTCATGCACAGCAGCACAATCAAAAACCACACGGATTTTGTTCGGTTTTTTGCGGTGGTAGACGCCGTGGTGCGGAATGTACCAAACATTGCGTTTCCTAGCAACTTGGTCGTCAGGTGTATGGTTCGATTCAGATAACTTCGGCACTCTTTCGGCGTATCCATCGGCTATTATTGTCCGCATAAGTTCGACATAGTCCGCCTTGTACTTCTGACTGTTTTTAGCCTCGAGTCGTCTTTTAAGCTGACTTAATCGGTGAAGCGCAGTGGATCTGTTGTTAGGGAGCTCGATTTTTTCGTCTTTCAGAGGTAGCGGAAGTTCGTAATGGCCGTTATCACACCGGTGAATCCCTCGTTCGGCTATCTCAAGAAATTTTCTGTCTTCTTTGGACAGTCCGTGTCTCGATTTGTTAGACTTGTGTTCCACAAAATCGAGTTCAAACATCTGATTGATCGCAGATGGATTTATCACCTCCTTTGTTTTTCCGTTGAAAATGAAACTTAACTGGCTGTCGTCAGTACCAGAAACAACTTCTCTGGACAAAATGCAATGACATGAAGATTCTAGGGTGTAGTCTTCCGACGGAGTGCCTAACGTCGCAACTGGTCCCACGATACTCCACCTAACAAGGTGAGAACAGCATAGGGATCATTACCTTGACCGCGAATTATAGCTGTTGGTTTAATCGTCTTAAGACAGTTACACCCAATTAACAGGCCAATTTCCATATTCTCTTCGTACGGCGAAATTTCATCCTGGATTCCCTTAAGGTGTGGCTAGTTGTTTACGGTTTCTGGTCTCGGTATCTGGTCTCGTCTGGACGGAATGCTTTGTCTTGCATATGCCTTCGATAACTCAATTTGGATGCGTTTGTCAAGATGCTGCACTACTAAACCATCGACTCTCTGTACTGTTAACCTTTCTCGACCAAGCATTGTGCTTAAGTCCAAACTGGTTTCAACGCCTTCAATACCGAGTTCGCGCTGTACTTGGGTGGTAACAAAGGTTGTGTCGTTTGCATCGTCTAAGAGCGCATAAACTTTAATGGTCTTTAACGGATCGTTCTTGTGGAAGAGAATGACTTGGACGATTCTGCAATGGGTAATTAAACTGGCGGATTCTCCAGCTGAGCTGTGCGCTACACTGATGAGATTAGAGCTGGCAGATTTCTTGACTGGCAGTTTCTCAATGGGCGTTTCTTTCTTGTTTGAGGATTGCTGGTTTTCATGTGCCATGGGGTTGGGCTGCCTGCTTGGTATAGACCTTGGCTTCACGCCGTGTAGTAGTGTATGGTGATGTCTTCCACATTCTTTACAAGTAGATCGGTTCCGACATCCTGAAGACACGTGACCAGATTTAAAACATCCGAAGCATAGGCTCTTGCTGCGAATGATTTCACTGCGCTCATCTACCGAACTCTTCAGAAACTTGCTGCATTTACGAGGGCGTGCTGACCGTTGCAAAGGGGGCAAGCTTGGCTGGCTTGATCCGCTGAAGGTTTTAGCGGTGAAACAGAGCTGTCTTGAAATCTAGTGGTCGTTGTTGCAAAAGAATCTGCACTCGCTCTGCCTTCGCTACTTTTGCCTTGTTTGCCTCTCCACCCCAACCTCGTCTGGGAATTGTTTTTTTTCTTCTCTGCCTTTAAGGCATCCAGCGAGAAAATAGGGTCGTTCGCTAGCTCTGCTTCTTCCATGACAAATTTCGTGAAGTCGCTAGAGGTGACAATCTTCATAAGCTTCGTCTGTACTTCATGGGCGTGCCGCCACCATTTTACTGCAGAGTAAGAGGGCAGTTTTTTGCTTACGAGGCGGAGGGTTTCTGTCGAGTTGAGGTCTCCCATAGACTGCATGGTCTTCATTGCCTCTTCACAACGTACGAGGAAATCGGCAAAGTCTTGGATACTTTGTCTCCGTCGTTGATCTTAGGGCAGCTTCTAAGGCTAGACTTGTAGGCCTCTGCTACATGGATGGGGTTCCCAAAATGGTGGTCAAGCATATTTCGAGCCTTTTCGTAAGCGGTGTCGGAGTTGATGGCTAGGTAACCCTTTACAACGTCCTTCGCCTTGCCTTTAGTGTATTTATTCAAGAAAAAGAGTCAATCTCTGTTCGAAAGCACACTCTTGGAGATTATAGCATCGAAGGCAGTCACGAAGGCTGGATATTCCAAGTAGTCTCCAGTGAAAACTGGCGGCTCCTTTACGGGAAGGTGGTTTATTTGTTGCTGATTGATAAGTAACGAACTTAACTCTGTTTGCTTCGCTTGTAAGCTGACTATCTGCTGAAGAGTTGTGTCGACACCACTATCCTGGAGATGCGAAGTAATTGCGGGCTTCGGTATCAAGGGCTTGGAGGCTGGTGTAGGTTCGCTTCTAGGGATGAACGGAGGGGCGAGCGGGTTGACACAGCTNCATTGTAACATTGTGGCTATCTAAGATCATTCTGAAATTAGTGAACTAATAAAAAAATGAGCCTTCTGGCTAATGTCCTTAACACAACCGGAAATATGATTTATGTGTAACCCTTTGTTAGGGTATTCGTGAAAATATTCCTACTACGTGTCACATGGAATATGGAAACTTGTACGTGTTTTCCGTCTAAAAACACGTAAAAACACTAGTTTTGCAGGATCTACGAAAGTGTCCTCCCTTATCTGTGAAATTATGGATAGGTGGTAATTAAGTTGTTTATTCCAAGGGAAAACTCGTATTACCTTCTGTATTTTGTATCGCAGATGATTTAGTTACCATTATGTATATAAGAACCTTGATTTAAGCAATAAAGGAGATTCAGTTGATTGTAAAGCAGTTGAGTGTCCTCCACCCCGTGTGCGAGCTCGCGTTAAACCCATTGTTTGCCTAAGCATCGAAACAGCTCCACACTAACCGACCCTCAGCTGAAATTATACTTCAAAAATAAAAATTGTTAACTACTGTAGCTGAGTTAGTACCTTGTGGTGGGTTGTTACGAAATTGTGTGTTAGAATGTTGTGCAGCATTATTAAGGGGTGATTTGAAATTGTGGTGTTGTGTGGCATAAGGATGTTGCGGTGCATTATTGTGGTGTAGGGTATGGGTCTGATAGGGTGTGCGTGGACCGTGACGATTTGGGAAATGGGCCCGGTAATGACTCGTGCCCCCACATCTGTGGCAGCTGGGTACACTGGGCTTTTTCGTGGCTCAGAAGAGCACTGTGCAGAGAAATGACCGCTCCCCTGGCACCGGTGGCAATGAGGTTCTATTAATAAAGATGTTCAAACAAAATTTATTAGTAAATCATTATTGGTGACATAATCATATTAATGAAAGGCTCTTGATACTCACAGTTGGTTGACAGGTGATCTCTGAGATCGCCTGCTGACCTCCCATTTGTTCTTTCTCTTGTCCCCAGCCGTTCTCTCCTTTGAATCCTTATCCTCCATCATTCTTCTTCATCCCTTCTCCTTTCTCTCTCTCCATGCAGTGTCTCCTTTCTCTCCTCTTCCAAAACATGTCTCCCCAACTGCGTGACATTCTAAAGTGAAAGAACATGTGCCATGAAATCTTAGATGAAAAAGAAAAAGTGGAAATAAGAAAAGCTTTACCTCAGGCGAATTTTACTAATGCTGGATTTGAATCCCTTTTATTTTCCAAACTTCTCTGTTTGTTTGTTCATTTCAAATCTACCTCTCCAAATTTGCCCACCCTGCCCAAGCATACAGTACTTTTGATGGTTTTGCTGGTTGTAAAAGTTTGACTAAATAGAAAAAAGTTGGGATTACACTTGGAAATCTAATGTCCCCTCATGTCAGATTTAACATATCGCAGAACAAAAAAACAATTTGGAAAACGTTTCCTATGGGTTGCACCACAGGGGAATGGCACCTGCAGAGATATTCCAATGATGAAAGAAATCAATCAAACCGTGATTACTCCCTGCATGGCTTTCTGTGCTTTGCAAATCTGTGGGCATCTTGGTGCTCTTCCATTCTTCTCTTGAGTTTACAAAACTCTTTGCTTTTTACCTCTGTATTTTTAAACCTAACACTCAGCTCTTCTACCTTGTCTCTGCTTCTTGTCAGTTGTTGTACTGCCAACTCCACACATGTTACGTTTCGCACCAAAGTTTCACTTTTCATTTTATTTTTCCATCCTAAATACTGGTCCAGGTCGGGGTATCTTTCAATAATTTCTTCTATAGTTTTTCTCGTTTCTTTTTCTTCATGGAACATTTTTGTTGCCTTGTGGAGTTTCCATTCCTCGTGCAACTTTTGGTGAGACACTTTTCCCCTCAAACCATCATACCGCGAATTCTCACAAAGTTCCTTAGCCTTATCGTTGCAACATTTTCTCCTCTCTTTTTCTGACCCAGAGGAAGTCTCAACATCCATCTCCGAGTAAAGGTGTACTCCCTTCCTTACGGCAGCCGATGTGTATCGAGTTCTAGAAGAAGATTTAGCTCCAAAAATTTTCGTCGAGGTACTCTGAATGGTGCAGGAACGCTTAGCAGCTGGATTTTTGGACAGTGGTTCTTTAACGCCTGAGAACCCTAACGTGGAATTTTGCTCCAGAATTTCTTCTGTGGGGTTATGGTTGTCTGGCTCTTTTAGGGGTCTTAAGCTCACATTGCCTTCTTTGAACACACAGATCAACAATGCACCTCCAGAAGCACAACACAGTTTCTGTAGTTTAAATGTGGTGAAATGGAAAAGCATGAAGTTATAACTTACCGACAATGGAACTGAAGGAACTATTCTTCTCTCGGAAGTGTTTCCTGAAAGTGGTTTGCAATGGCACCGAGAATACGCTTTGCTTGAGCGACACAAGGTTTTCTTGCTGTGCTCTGGGAAGGAGGCATGCTGAGGATTGCAAGCGGCCCCTTTGTTTTGAACTTTAAATATAACTCTGAGATGTGAATAGGAAAGCCCACTCTCTGCAATCTTCTGAGCCATTGATTGTTTTATTGCGCCATTGTCGTCCCTGGGGTCGAAAAGTCTTCTGCTGAGTGTCTGAAGAATTATAATAATAATAATAATAATCAACTTTATTTAAAGAGGGTAAAACACATAACAGTATAAAACTGACAAACCAGTGGCCCTCTTAAAATATATTGCAAATAATTATTAAAAAGATTAAAAACTAATTAATTATGGAAAAAGATCAAGAGCTAAAAATCTAAAATTAGAAAGTTTATAAAAACTATAAGATAAAATGTTCTAATCGTTTATAACTATTCTTAAAAAATCTAACATGGCCTTTTTAAAACATTTGATAGTAGGTTTCATTCTTATGTCCAGTGGTAAGGTATTCCAGAGGCGTGAGGTCGATACTGTGAAAGACCTACCTCCCTCTGACTCCCGTTTGAATCGGGGACAGACAAGGTTTAGTTGTCCATGTCTGCTTGATCTTTCATTTATGTCTGCATTTCTTACGAGCATTTGGGACATATAAGGTGGACAGTCCCCAGACAATCATTTGTACACCATTAGTGACCTATTTACTTTTGCCTCATGAAAGAATGGAACCCAATCCAATTTCCTAAACAGTTGTACGCTATTCGCTTTAGTGTCAGCTCCGAGAATTACACGTGCCGCGCGTTTCTGAAGTTTAAAGACTTTCTGCAAATTCTCAGCAGAACAAGATGTCCATATGGTTGATGCATAAAGCATTGTCTGCTTGATCATAGCATTATAATAAAGTTTCCTTTGATCAATGGGCAAAAAGCGTCTTATTTTTCGCAGCACGGCAATTCTCTGCAATAACTTCGTGCATAGATTTTCAACATGTTGGTCGAAAGTAAGCTGGCTGTCAATCGTGACACCTAATAGTTTATGCGAGTTCACTTGTTCAAGTTCAGTAGAATAAACGTTTAACTGTAGGGTGGACTGTTCCAGTTTTCCTTGGCTTGCCAAACCATCTCATAGGACATGGCAGTACGACCAGCTACATCAAGAAGTAGGTCCTGAGTCTTTTTGGAGGATTTTATCTTCTGATTTCTAC